ATATGCAAAGTGCATTTCAAGCCATAACAAAAAATTAACCAGCTGCCCCATCTAGTCTTGTTCTCCAGCCTCAAGCCAAATTTTCTGTATGACTCAAACTTTTCCTTGTCCCCATTTCATGTGATTTTTAACAGCTTCCCCAATATATCCCTGAATGTACTTTATGATCATTATTGTAATTATCTTCCCACGATCCCAGAGAATCACCTAGGAGGCTAGAAAATAGAAGGAACTCATTTCACACTTCATGGAAAAAGACCCACCTGTAAGACGTGTCCTATGTCATGTGAGGCTGAGGTATTTCTGTCCCAGTCTAAATTAGAAATTTCCCTTCCCCACCCTTCCAGAATATGTTCAATATCTACCAAGTAGCTATGACAGACCAGGATAAGGCAAAGCCCTGGGAAGTATATGTAGAGATGGTTTCTCTGCCCTTGAGGAGCTCATATTTGTTGTAGGCTAGAGATTATGAGAGGGAAGAGATAATTAGTCTTGCTTGTGCACTGTGGCTGACCCAAGAAATTTAGTCTCTACATGGCAGTAGAAAAATGAATTGAAAATACAAAGCAATCAGATTGCTCACCTGCTCAAAGCCTTTTTATAGCTTCTCATCACATTTAGAATGATACCTAAATTCTAACCATGATGATCTCCAAGGGGAGGGCAGGGGGAAGGGGTCCCTGGTTCTCTTGCAGCCTGTTTCTCCAGTTTCATTCTCTTCCCTGTGATCCTTCCACATAAGGTACAGGGATTTCCTTCCTGCTTCTTTAAGAACCTAAAGTTTGATCCCACCTCAAGGTTTCTGTACTTCCTATTCCATCTTCTAACACTGTCTCCCATACCATCATCTGATTTGCTTTCTCATTTCATTCAGGCTTCTCCTCCAATGTCAGCTTCTCAGAGAAGCCTTCCTTTGTCACTTCTAAAATGGCCATTCCAATCTGTGATAGTTTATGTCTATCTTTATAGCCTACTATCCATTGTTTTACCATACTTATCCATATCTGACATTATAATGTATGTTTATCTGGTTGGTTGATCACCATTGGTCTCCACCAGAATGTAAGTCTCACACAGACAGTGATTTTTGTTGTGTTCATCACTGTAATCCAAGCACCTAGAATAATATATGTTGATAAATGAACAAGTAGTGGAGAGGTTCTCTATACCCACACTTCACCTAATAATACCATAGGATTACATATTTGCTCCCAAATACCCCAGGAATTCTTTCAGTTCTTCAAGATGAGAAAAGAGAAGGGAACGGGTTTTTACCTGTTAAGCTCAAACACACCAATGTGGGCTTCAAGTATTATCCACGTGCCTGAAGCCATCCTCTACTGCCCGTAATCTCAGGTTTCTCTCTCCTTAACACAGTAGGTATTATAATTATGATTTTATGACTGGCGACTGGCTGTCCAGTCATCAGGAAGCATCCTTCGTTGCTGTGTGTTAACCCATGGACATAGATAAGCCCAATAACTCTGCTTCTTTGTCTACAACTGCTCTTATTTCTCTTGAGGAGACTTGGACTTGTTACATTTGCATATCCCAAGAAAGTTTCCCCACGGAAGCAATAACAGGAACTAGACTGTTTTCATAGAGCTTCATGTCAATCTTTTTAGCCTCTAGAGGCCAAATTTTAGTGTCTTGCTTCCCTATTGGGTATTTCAAACTATCAAAACAAGCTTGTGCAACCAAAGAGCTAGTCGGCTGAATTCACCAATAGTTTGGATGCTTATCTATAAACACAAACAATTCTCTGTGCAAAATGTTAATGAGCAAAATGTAAGGGCACAAAAGTTCAAGTCTACCAAAATGAGCACACAAATCATGAGATATGCCAAATTGATGCTTTTAAAATTCTGACAGGTTCAAATAAGTCTTTGAACTTGGTGTCAATGTCTCATTCATAATTGCCCCTAATTCTGTATGAAGCTGCCTCCCCAACAAAGATTACTCATTCCATTCTTCCTAATACCCCCCAAATGCCTAATAAGAACATTGATTCCCACTGCCAGCAGGCACCACAAGTGCTCACTCTACAACATCTGAGAAAACAGGCTGATGGCACAGTCTTTAGACCTTTTTTCTGCTTTAACAATCATTTAACAGTTGGCTCAGTCTCACCCGGCTGACTATAATACTAATTTAGAAAATGTGGTTTCCAATCACACAAAACAAGCCTTGTTGTCTCAGCAAGTATTTCATGCCATCATCTGTCTTTCTAGAAAATGAGGCAAAACACTGCATGTTTTACCAAAATGTTTAATAAAAGTCATTATGTTGTGTGTATGTGTGTGTGTTTTTAAATGTACTGGGCTGAGCTAAAGAGAATATCAAAAACTGCTTTTCCAGCCCTGGCTGGTGTGGCTCAGTTGGTTGAGCGTCATCCTATACACCAAAAGGTAACGGGTTCAATTCCTGGTAAGAGCACATGCCCAGGTAGCAGGTTCAGTCCCTGGTCTGGGTGTGAACAGGAGGCAACCATTCGATATTTCTCTCTCACATCGATGTTTCTCTCTTCCCCCCCCTCCCTTCCTCTCTTTAAAATCAATAATAATAAATAAACATATATTAAAGAAAACCCTGCTTTTCCATTTCTGAACCTAAAAATTCATCCACAGCTATAAAGCTACACATCCGTATGTTCATTCATCTGTCCCCTTGAACATACACTGGGCAGATAATCTACTCTAGGGCAGACTCCTCTAGAACTGGAGCTGTCAGTGCTAACAGGACATGATCCTTGCCCTGACTCAATTATCTAAGTTAAACCAAAGTTTTTATTTTCAACATAACACTAGCTTGCAGGTCCAAACCTATGTAGTCTAATGTTTCCCCAATTAATTTCTCCTTCATGACTCTCTACCAAACCTTTCATTAAATCCTATTTCCTTGATTGATTACTCATAGCCTATAATTTACAAAGGACTTTCACACATAGCCTTTTGCTAATCCTCACAACAATCTGTGCGGTAGATGTCATAAACCCCGTTTTATTGAAGCAGCAGCTGAACCTCAGGGATGCTATGTCACTTTCCCAAGATCGTCCATGGTCTTATTAGCAGAAATGACATTTCTGACTCTGCATCCCTGCACTGTGGTTTCCAGTTGTAAAATCTAACATCTCCTTCTAGTCTTTGGTCAGACACTCTAGTCTTTGGTCAGCAAATATTTATTGAGCATCAAGTCACATATTCTATCCTTGCCAGTTTGGTCAATTTCTTCAGTTCTGAAATTGATCAAAAGAAGTTGTTCCTCTCTGTGTTCCCTGAATTTAGAACTAGTCTCCTCCACAATTTATAAACAAATGTTGAAAACTATCTCATGGAGTCTAACTTCTCAAGTACATGCTCATCTTAGCCCCATATAAAAAATCAAAGATTTCTCCATAACTAATATCAATTTTTAAATTCTTCTTATTTCGAATAGTAGTTCTTATCCCCAGCACCTTTCCACCATGCCCCACATAGAGAGAAAGATGAGTAGATTAAAAGAGAAAGGGATAAGTAATATGGTATTTCTTGTGTGGTATTTGAAATGCACAGGTGGCTGAGCAGCTAGATGCACTGGGGCCCACGGCACATGCAGATGGAAATCCATCAATTCAAATGACTCCACCAAAGCCCAGGTTACCTAGATAGTTCTGTAATTTCTGTCACTTTTTAACCAAAGTCACTGCCCTCATTAGCTTCATCTCCCATTTGCTAGTTGTTGAGCTACTTTAAACCCTAGTTCAGAGAGAGATGGCCCTTAGGATAGAAAAAAAATGTGAAATTAAAAGCAGATGCTTCAATGTACTGGGGTCATGTCTGGGTCTGGAAGTGGAAAGAGAGACAGCAGGTTTTTATATTCTCTTGATCAAGTCCAGGACATTCTTTAAAATGAAACAGTCAAAAAAAATATAAATATTTCCATTAGTCAAAGGACACCAAACCAAGGTTCATCAAATCAGTGACTGTGAGAACGTCTCTAAATGGAAATATTTACAAGAAGACTGAGGCAATCATTGTTACCAAGAACTTTTGTGAGACATACACACCCTTCTTTCTCAGATTCCAAGCAGACAATATCAGGGCATGAAAAGATAAAGAAAACAAGAAAAGAATTAAAGGGCACAGGAGCTGAGCAGAAAAGGATAGAAAACATGAAAAGAAATGATAGAGGGTGGCTGGTGTAAAAGAGAACAGGTTTTGAAATCAGATGAGTGTCGATTTAAATTCTGACTTTGCCATGTGTCTTTGCCCAAGTTGTCTTATCCCTAAAGGGCAAATGATTATACTTACTTTGTAGAATAAATGTGAACATTAAATGAGTTATTGAATGAAAAGATCCAAATGGTGTTTGACAGAGCATCCTCTCAATAAAGAGAGGCAGTAGTGATAGCTATTGTTTATTTTAGAGTAAAAGATTGAAGAGAGAAAAAGTGATATTTTCACGAATAACATTTCATTCTCAAACCAGATTTTTTTAAGTTTTTTTTTAAAAAACACAGATTTTTAAGAAATTTCTATTTTAAAAAGTCTATCTGGATATGCCAGAATTTTTAAATTGACTACTAATTGGACTATTCTGATAATTCTATAACATATGGATAGAAAGGTAAAGCTGCCCAAAATAAAAATTGAAATTTTATTTTGAGTGCACTGTGATTCTCAATCCTGGATGCTTATCAGAATCACTTGTGCAGCTTTTTAAAAAATTCAACTCCCCAGGCCTCACCTCCACAAATCTGTTTTCAGTAGGTCTTAGATAGGGCTCAGACACCTGTATGGTTTTTAAGTTCCACAGATCTTCTGATGCCCAAACAAGGTTGAAAATCACTGTCATAAAAAACTACATAAGGGTGGGCATTCTGGAAATGTAAGGCTCCGTCTCACCACTGTGCTGAATCAGTGAAAAACAGCAGGGAAATAAATACACATTCAACATAGTAGCATTCTTTATCAAATTAAAACCTGCGGTTACAAGGTCTTTTATTTTCTGCAGCTATTTACCGAAACTTCCTCTGCATTCATATCCACCTGTACAACCAAGACGTGCCCTATAAGAAAGACAGTGGAAACACAATAAATGCTCCTCTAATATGGCCTCCCGGTTTTAACCCATCCTGCACGGGTCTATACCATGACGTTGATAATTCAGTGACGTCTACTTCACATGTGTGAAGGAAGGGGTGGTAAGAACGTCATGTTCTCTACAGCGATGGGGATAATGTTATGTAATTTGACATTTTGCTTCCATTTGCTTGGTCACCTTCCTCTGCACAAGCATTGATGGGTATAGGGAGATGAGTTACTTCATTTCAGTTAGGTCTACAGGGAATTAAAACAATCAAGTGAGAACTTATTTGTGAATCAAGGCTACAACGTACCAAGTTCCAACAGAAGACCAGTCATTGTCCACCAGTGCTTTTGAGGTGCACTTTCCATTCAAGATTACAGCTTTGATAGTTTAAAATACCATCACTCCCACCGTTTCAAAAGGAAAATAGTTAGAAAAATACAAAGCTTTTGTTCTTCTATCACAAAGTTAACCACTTTGTAAAGCTTTGTTTGCAAAACCTAAAAGAGCGCACGGTGCCTTTGTTTTTAAATATTCAACAAAAAATTTGTTCCAAATAAATTTTTAAATGAAATGCCAGAAACTTGGGAAAATGCACGCAGTGGGCCAAGAAAACAAAAACAGTGGATGGTGATGAGAGTCTCCCTTCTCTTTCATCAGGTTTCACTTAGCTAAGGTCAGTCATGCAATTGCAGATAAACAAACAAAGGAACTTACATTTAAACATGGTACATTCCTAACAGGACTTCTCAGCATGGGGGACATAGGCCATCTCAGGGCCTCCCTAGCTCATGGAAGCACCAGCTGCTCCTCATTGCTTGGGAAGCAAGTGTGAAGAACACCAGTGACTTATAATTAAAGAGAAGAAATTCCATTCAGATGTCATCATAAAGGGAAATGACAGAGACACCAAAGAAACGAAGACATTAAAAAAATATTAAACCCACTAAACCCTTGAAGGCCTGAAGTGACCTCCAGTTATAAGGAAAACAGATTTCCCTTAAAAGAATTATCTTTTTGATAGGAAAGTCACATAAAGCGAAGTGAATTCTGGGGGGAAAAAGACCTTGTTGGTTAGAAAATAACAGATAGTCATTTTAAAAGCTTACCAGTGTAGATGAGCTGGTGAAAGAGGAAGGGGAGCTCTCAAATCCTCTAACTACTTACCTCCTTTAGAACACTGGGGCTTTTATAGGAGTTTCCGACACTGAGTTTCCCAGTCTTAGTCTTATCAAATAAGTTTAGATAAAATCACTCTGAGGTGCCCTGGATATTTTCTCTTTCTTATAAACATTTAGATATGATGAAAGTTCCTATTGGTTCACTTATTTTTATTCTTTTTCTCTTTCTTCCCTCCTTTCCCCTCTCTCCCTTTCCTTCTCCCCCCCATCTCTCTTTCTCTCTTTGCATAAAGAGAAAAGGTCCAATGTCTTTTTCACTATGTTCCCAAGACATCTAAACAGAAACATGCCCCCTGAAAAAGATTAATCATTCATTGAAATAGTCCTTTATAGATTTTTGAACCTGAAAGGAAATTACAGAAAACAGTCCAGCTCCCATGGGCATTGTGATTCAAACAGGGTGCCATCCCAAATATTTGCCTGGGCTCTGAGTTGAATTTGAGTTGAATTGGTACAGTGTGGGCACATGGCAAAAGAGTAGCCTGCAGTGGAAAAGCAGAGGAAAAAATCATGTATCAAAGATATGTGTACCATTTGCTTGCCAAGTTACCAAAGTATTGGCCTCTTATAGGCAGCAGAGACATCTGAGACTCTTCAGCTTCAGCTTTTATATCCCCAGACCTAAGTCACTGCTCCTAAATTGACTCTTATCACAGAGGGGTAACTTTACATAATAAACAGCTAGTTCTATAGTTTGAATACTTGGAACCTATATCAATGCATTCAATGTATATATGTTACTGAAAGACTATTAAGAATTTTTTCTTTTTACCAGATTCTATCAGCTTATTCTTAAAACAGCATGTTCATTAGCCTCACTCTTTAGAAGCAGCATAAAATAGTGGAAAGCACATGAATTGAAGGACTACAGAGGTCCCATTTTAGACTATGCTCCACCACCGGCCATGAGACTTTGGAAATGACAATTACTAACATTTACTGAGAATTTAGTATTTCCAAGGCACTGTTCTGAGCACCTGACATGTATCAAGCCATGCAGTCTATGAAATAGTTCTATGAATTAGATATTATTGTTATTATTATTAATCTTAAAACAAATACAGAGTGGTCAGATGGCTAATTAGTGAAGAAGCCAGTATTTGAACCCATGGTGCCAGCTCTTTGGCCATGCTCTTGACCTCTACACTATACCTTTATTCAGCATTATTTAATTTCTCTGTCTGAGCCTTAGTTTACTCATCTGTGAGAATGAAAAAATTGTGATAAAGATTAAATAATACATGAAATGACCTTAACTTTTAAATAGTACTATCTTTAAGTGGGTAACTTCTAATACCAGTCATGATGAGGTAATGCAGACCAAATGTCTCTTCCACCTTAAACAACAATAAAACTTGATGGTGTTGGGGGGGGAGAGGATGTGAAATAATGATATTCAAATATTTGACAACTGGCACCACAGGCCAGTGATTCCTGAGAGAAGAGAAACAAAGTGAGCTCTATAATTGCCCCAGATTACTTCCTGGAGAGTGTCCAGGCTGCAGTGCAGAAAAAGGAAACCCAAATAGAACCAGAGCTCTTTCTGAATGAAGGAGACAGAACTTGGAATTTCAGGCTGAATTAAGGAGACAGAGTTTGGAATTTGAGAAGGCAAAAGCAGCTAGAGTTAGTGAGGCAGAGTACAGTCGAGGAAGGAGTTCCACAAAGGAATATCCCCCAGAGGCCTGAAGAGAAAGAGTCTTTGAGTTTTGGGCTGAGTACTAATGTGCATGCGAGTGAGAAGAAACTACCCAAGGCCAAGGAAAGAAGAAGATGAACAATTCCTGAAGCTCTCACAGGGCTGAGAATAGTTCTGTTTCAAACAGACTGAGTGAAAAGACCTCCAAATACATGGGAAATAGGTAGAGTCTTCAGTATGGCATTGCCTAAGAAGTGGGGCTAAATTAGTCTTTGGCTAAAGAGAGAGTCTAGGTCTGCCCTAAAGAAACTTAAAAGCAAGCCTCAAAAGGATCAGATTGATTCCAAGTAATTTAACTGCAACCCAGAACAAAGTCAAATAATACTTAAAGGATAAAATAAAAGTCAGCACCCAAGCACATAAAAGTTACAATGTTGTCATCCAGTCAAAAGTTATGAGGCAAAATTAATCAGTAGAAAAAGATCCAGAAATAAAAAGATGACAGGATTAGTAGACAAGGATATTACAACAGCTACCTTAAATATGCTTTGTATGTTCAAGAAAAAAGAGGAAAAAGCATGAGCATGATGGAAAGAAAATAGAATATGCAAAAAAGAACCAGTCTCTAATATGGAAAAGTCACTGGATGGGATTGACAACATGTTAGATAATGACAAAGGAAAAAACTAGTGAACTCGAACACATAGTGAAGGAAAATATTTAAAATAAAACAGAGTGGAAAAGAGTACAATATGAACAAAGCCTAAGAGACAGTGGGACAATACTAAGTGATAAAACATGCACAAAAGGGGAGGAGAAATGCTTGAAAAAATAATGGCAAACATTTTCCAAATTTAATTAAAATTTTAAACACATAGATCCCAGAAGCTCAACACATCCCAAGAAAAATAGACACGAAAAAAATCAGTCTAATTCACATCATATTAAAGTGGCTAAAAACTAGTAATAAAGAGAATCTCTTAAAAACATTCAATGAAAAATACATCACATATAGAAGACTGAGGTAATGAGTATCGCAGACTTCCTTTGAGAAATTATGAAAACAAGAAGACAATGAAGTGACATCTTTAAAGTACTGAAACAAAAACACTTTCCATCAATTATTCTACACCCAACAAAGATATATATCAAAAATACAGGTATTGTCTCAGCACTCAATATATATCAAATTATTTCACCCTCTCAACAGTCCTATGCAATAGGTACCATTTTTAATCCTCATTTTTATAGATGAGGAAACAGAGACCCTTTAAGGTTACATGACTTTCCCAACATCACACAAGATTTAAAACTACACCTTGTGATCTGGGGTCTCAACTCTTCACCACCACACTACATGGCCTTTTACCCCCAAATTTAGGAAGCAGAGCTCAGGAAACCACAGGATGTCAGCAGGCAACAAGCACATCTAGGACCTTTCAACTCCTGCTTTTCATGTTCCCAGAGCTAAATTGCTGCCTCCGTACTAATATCACAGGCAGGGAACCACATCAACAGCTGGTCCCACTGCCTAAATATCCAGGAATACAAAAGAAAACTCAGTTGACTTATGGTTACATAGGCTCTTCATTGGCAGAAAGAGACACACAACACACACGCAGATCCTTGGAGTGCTCGTGAGAGTTCATTCCACTTGTCAAGAGAGATTTGTGTGGAAAGCGAGAACACTTGGATCACTCAGGCTTGTGCCCCTTCTTCTCATTCTGTCTTTGCAGTCACGGGGCCCCTGAAAGCATGCCACTTTGGAAAATGGTCTCTCTGTTGAAAGCTTGATGAGTACATCTTATTTTTAACGCTAACTAATTCCTGCTTGCAGATAATCCTCTCTGAGTGATGTTTACATAAGATACAGAGAAATGACAGGGTAAAAATAGTTACTATGAAATTCTCTCCAGGCTACACACATTTTAACTTTTGGCAAAAGGACTTTATTATTTACATACTCGGACAAATATACATCACATTCTCCTCGAATTATTAACGTTGCTCTGCAAATAACTGACATACAGAGTGTGTAAATATACCAACTGAACCCCTTCCTGGGTCTTAATTAATTCTAGCCATCTTGCTCAGAGTCTTGTGTTTTTTGGTTTATCTTAGGATCATCATTAATATATGTTGATAATACTGCAGTCAAAG